AATTGTTGATAAATTGAGAATGACATCAAGTTAATGCTAGCTCCCAAGTCACATAATGCTTTCCCGAAAAATTGATTACTTATTGTGCATGAAATTGTAAAGCTACTAGGATCTTTGAGCTTTTGTGGTAACTTCTTTTGAAAAATAGCACTGCACTTCTCCGTAAGTGCCACTGTCTCTAAATCGGNGCTTCATTCAAACCCAATTGTTGATAAATTGAGAATGACATCAAGTTAATGCTAGCTCCCAAGTCACATAATGCTTTCCCGAAAAATTGATTACTTATTGTGCATGAAATTGTAAAGCTACTAGGATCTTTGAGCTTTTGTGGTAACTTCTTTTGAAAAATAGCACTGTACTTCTCCGTAAGTGCCACTGTCTCTAAATCGGCTAGTTTTCTCTTCTTTAACAAAATTTTCTTCAAAAATTTCACATAGTTAGGCATTTTCTCCACTGCTTCTACGAAAGGGATATTTATTTGTAGCTTCTTAAACACTTCTATGAATTTAGAGAAATCCTTAGCCCATTTCTGTTTCTGCAAACGTTGTGGAAACGGCACGGGAGGCACAATAGGACTCTGCTCACCTCCATTAGAACATGCAACTGGATCTTCATGTTCCACATTCTTGTTATCTTTTATTTTTCTACCCTCTGTATCATCTCCATGTGATTGTTTTGGAGTTCCACTAACAACCTCAGGTACTNTACCCTCAGTATCATCTCCATGTGATTGTTTTGGAGTTCCACTAACAACCTCAGGTACATCTCTTTCACTTTGTAATGTAATAGCATTGCAGTACTCCTTACCTTCCCTCTTAGGATTGATCTCTGTATCACTAGGTAGAGTGCCTTGAGGTCGATTGTTAATGGTAGTAGCAAGTTGACCCATTTGGTTTTTTAGAGTTCGGATTGATACTTCCATACTATTCATCCTTGTCTCACTCTGTGCTATGTACTTGGAAAGTAGCTTCTCCAAATTTGACTTCTTTTCTTGTTGTGGTGGAGCTTGATTCTGAAAGCCTGGTGGGTATGATTGTGTTGGACTAGAAGTTTGGACTTGATTATTATTCCATGAAAAGCCCGGATGATTCCTCCAACCAAGGTTGTAATTATTGAAATTATTGCTATATTGCTGTCTGTTGTGGTCACCAATGTATTGTATTGACTCAGAACTAATTGCACATTGATTGCTCGGATGGTTCCCAGCACACAGTTCACAAATAGCTGCCACACTCTGAATAGGCTGCATTCCTAAAGCATCAATCTTCTTTGTCATTGTAGCAACCTGTGTAGCTAATGCAGTAACCGCATTAACTTCATAAATCCCTGCTACCTTTGGCTGATTGATCCTTGTAGAAGGCCACTGATAATTGTTGGCAGCCACCGTCTCCAATAACTTATAAGTTTCATCAAAATTTTTTCCCATTAATNTCTTAGGATTGATCTCTGTATCACTAGGTAGAGTGCCTTGAGGTCGATTGTTAATGGTAGTAGCAAGTTGACCCATTTGGTTTTTTAGAGTTCGGATTGATACTTCCATACTATTCATCCTTGTCTCACTCTGTGCTATGTACTTGGAAAGTAGCTTCTCCAAATTTGACTTCTTTTCTTGTTGTGGTGGAGCTTGATTCTGAAAGCCTGGTGGGTATGATTGTGTTGGACTAGAAGTTTGGACTTGATTATTATTCCATGAAAAGCCCGGATGATTCCTCCAACCAAGGTTGTAATTATTGAAATTATTGCTATATTGCTGTCTGTTGTGGTCACCAATGTATTGTATTGACTCAGAACTAATTGCACATTGATTGCTCGGATGGTTCCCAGCACACAGTTCACAAATAGCTGCCACACTCTGAATAGGCTGCATTCCTAAAGCATCAATCTTCTTTGTCATTGTAGCAACCTGTGTAGCTAATGCAGTAACCGCATTAACTTCATAAATCCCTGCTACCTTTGGCTGATTGATCCTTGTAGAAGGCCACTGATAATTGTTGGCAGCCACCGTCTCCAATAACTTATAAGTTTCATCAAAATTTTTTCCCATTAATGCCCCACCTGCAGCTGCATCAATACTAGTTCGGGTAGCACTAAACAACCCATTGTAGAACGTTTGAACTTGCAACCACTCAGGAATACCATGGTGAGGGCATTTTCGNTGTCTCACTCTGTGCTATGTACTTGGAAAGTAGCTTCTCCAAATTTGACTTCTTTTCCTGTTGTGGTGGAGCTTGATTCTGAAAGCCTGGTGGGTATGATTGTGTTGGACTAGAAGTTTGGACTTGATTATTATTCCATGAAAAGCCCGGATGATTCCTCCAACCAAGGTTGTAATTATTGAAATTATTGCTATATTGCTGTCTGTTGTGGTCACCAATGTATTGTATTGACTCAGAACTAATTGCACATTGATTGCTCGGATGGTTCCCAGCACACAGTTCACAAATAGCTGCCACACTCTGAATAGGCTGCATTCCTAAAGCATCAATCTTCTTTGTCATTGTAGCAACCTGTGTAGCTAATGCAGTAACCGCATTAACTTCATAAATCCCTGCTACCTTTGGCTGATTGATCCTTGTAGAAGGCCACTGATAATTGTTGGCAGCCACCGTCTCCAATAACTTATAAGTTTCATCAAAATTTTTTCCCATTAATGCCCCACCTGCAGCTGCATCAATACTAGTTCGGGTAGCACTAAACAACCCATTGTAGAACGTTTGAACTTGCAACCACTCAGGAATACCATGGTGAGGGCATTTTCGAAGTAAATCCTTGAATCACTCCCAAGCTTCATATAGAGTCTTAGAATCATGTTGTGTGAATGATGTTATGTCGTTCCTCATCCTTACAGTTTTAGCTGGTGGAAAGAATTTAGCTAAGAATTTTTGAGCTAAATCTGTCCATGTAGTAATGGAACCTGGTGGTAATAAATGCAACCAACTCTTTGCCTTATCACAAAGTGTGAAAGGGAAAAGTTGAAGTCCAATTCCATCTTTGGAAACCCCATTGAATTTGAATGTGTCACAAATTTCAAGAAAACTCACCAAATGATCATTTGGGTCATCATTAAGCAAACCGCCAAACTGAACTGAATTCTAAATCATTTGGATGGTACCCGGCTTGATCTTAAAACTATTTGCTTGAATTGCGGGCCTTTGAATGCTCGATTGTATTTTCGTAACAAGCGGCATAGCATAATCCCTCAATGATTTCTGTTCATCTTCAGCCATAGCTTCTTGGTTGTTTACTTCTTGATACTATTTTTGCAAGTTTTGGAGCCTTCTTTCAATTTCGTCTTTGTACAGTAGTGACTCTTGACCTGTAGATCGTGTTTGCATACAAAATTCAATAGTATTTTCAAAAGCAATTAAAATAGAAAATTAAATAAGTTTAAACTAAGATCAAATTGATTGAAATTAATATTGAAATAACTACTAGAATAATTTTCCAGCAACGGCGCCAAAAACTTGTTGTCTGAATTTGATATTGATAATTTACGTGCAAGTATACACGATTAACAAGTAATAAAGTGATAAGTAGAGTATCATTCCCATGGAGAATTATTACTAATAACTTTCAAGTACTAACTTTATATCAATTCAATTTTATTTAAATAATTGGAATTGAACTATGAAATTACTAATTGAAAACTAAATCTAAACTTAATAATCAAGGGTTGAATTTACAGGATAAAAGAAGTTAAGATTACAACTTCCCCTAATGCTTCGTATAAATCTTTCTACTCTCTTTCCAGTTAATTGATCAAAATAAGTTGTTAACTGAGAACTCAAAGTTATTTATCAAATCTCTTCTGATAGTTAGATAAAGTTATCTTTCCCATTTAAATTACTATATTCCTATGTAAAATAAGTTGGAATAGATTCATTAAGTTCAAACTCTCATAAAAGTTACACACGACATATAGGTATATTCCTATCCTATACACAAACCCAAAAATTTAATCCTAAAAAGAATTATCCAGATGCATGTCATCATATTCAGATCTATCCCTAGAATTCATCTCCCAATTTCATCTAAGTTATCAAATTAATTGTTGGCCACACAATCATATATTAAGCACAAAATATGAAAAATAACTCATGTACGATCAATAGAACTAGAAATGAGAGTAGATTAATGGGCAAAATCTAGTTTACCCCCTCGTAGTTTGTGCCTTGAGAAGATGACCCCCCTATCATTTGGAAATATGCACATCACCTCCCTGTGGTTATGGACTAAATTGCAGCTCCCACTCTATTAAACGGTGATTGTAAAAGTAGTATAATACCCTTAAATATATATGTGGTCTACCGACGAGCCTTGGCCCTAAATGTCGTCTACCCAACAACAGAGGAAGTCTCTCTCTTTTCTCTCTCTACCAGCCCTTGAACCCACAAAATTTTAGGGCTTTAATTTCCTTATGAATCGAAATTAGGGCTTCGATTTCTTGATGATTTGAAGTTAAGGCTTCGATTGACCAGTTAAATAGGTAGAATATTCAGGGCCAAAAATAAGGCTAGCTTATTTCCAGTTTTCATTATATGCTAAATTATGCATCGAGTAAAAATTTTTGTGTGTGAAAATCTTTATCACTTTTTCATTTTTGTTTTGTGTTTGTGGCATAGATTTGTTGTTTATTGGCTTAGTGGTCCTACCACTAAGGATTTTCCTGTTAACTATTTGGTTTTTTTGGGTTTGTGGTCATACCAAACGGTTCCATATGTGAGTGTTTTTTCTAGTTTGTGGTCCTACCACATGTTGTATGGTCATTTTGGATGGGTAAAAGGGGACAGAGGTTTCCCCGCTGTGTTGTTTATTAATGTACATCTTTTAATGCAGAATGGGTTGGGACAAATTTGTTGTTGAACTGCATCATGGGGGAAAGTTCACGTGGACACCAAAAATTGTTTACAAAGGTGGTATTGTAAGTATGATTGAAGATTGTGAACCAAACAAATTTTCTTTGCTTGAGATTATAGACATGTATGTAACNTTAATGCAGAATGGGTTGGGACAAATTTGTTGTTGAACTGCATCATGGGGGAAAGTTCATGTGGACACCAAAAATTGTTTACAAAGGTGGTATTGTAAGTATGATTGAAGATTGTGAACCAGACAAATTTTCTTTGCTTGAGATTATAGACATGTATGTAACAGTAGGAGGAGAAGAGGTGAATGTTGACATATATTATAGGGTTCCTGGGTACAGTTTGGACATGGGAGTAAAGCAAATGAGGTCAGACTGTGATGTTATCGAGTTACTAAAATGTTATGAAGACCTGCCAGTAGTTGTAATATACATTGATGAAGTTGACGTTAATGTCAACGAACAGACTCAAAACAGTGATACACTTGAGACTGATTCTAATAATAGTGACTATGTACTGAATACCTCTGAATGTTATGACAGTGACGAGTATAGTGAGGACCCTAGTTGGATTTATGAAGACCTAGAAGGTCCAGATGATGATGACATTTTTAGAAGTGACTTTCCACCTAATGGGGCTGAAGCGTCTGTTAATCAAGATGTTGGACAATCTCAATCAACTCTAAATGTGCAAGTGGATGAGGAATGGTGTGCTGAGATAGGAAATGAAGAGGAGCTACTTAGTCTAAAAGGGTCATCTGATGAAGAAGGTGATGGTTACCCTGACTTCAATGAGAGAAAGATGCTTGATCCCAAACTTGTGGTTGGGATGAAATTTCCATCTCCTTAGGCTTTTAGAAAACTACTTAGGGTATACAATGTGAAGAATGGGTATGACATCAAATACTTGAAGAATGAGAATAGCAGAATCACTACTATTTGCAAGTATGGGTGTGACTGGAGGATACATGCTTCACCAATTGGAGGGAGCAAAACTTTTCAGTTGAAGACACTAAAAGGCTCACATTCATGTGGTAGGCAGTATGAGAACAAGCAAGCCAACTTAGGGTATTTGGGAGCCAAGTATGTGGATGAGGTGAGAGATAATCCTAACATAAATGTTGCCTCATTTGCCAAGAAAATAAAGAGAGACTTAATGTTGAATTCAAGCAGGTTTCGGTGTTACAGGGCGAAAAGGAAGGCTAAAGATGTAATAGCAGGTGATGTGGCTAAGCAATATGTTAGACTCTGGGACTATTGTGAGACAGTTAGGAAATATAACCCCAATAGCACACTTCTTTTGAAGCCTAAACATGGAGCATTGCAACCAACCTTTTNAAAGAGAGACTTAATGTTGAATTCAAGCAGGTTTCGGTGTTACAGGGCGAAAAGGAAGGCTAAAGATGTAATAGCAGGTGATGTGGCTGAGCAATATGTTACACTCTGGGACTATTGTGAGACAGTTAGGAAATATAACCCCAATAGCACACTTCTTTTGAAGCCTGAACATGGAGCATTGCAACCAACCTTTTAGAGAATGTATTAGAGTTTGGGAGTCATGAAAGAAGGATTNTGCTGATGGTCAAGCCTCTACTGCTCCTGTCGCCAATGTTGCTGCCTCCAATGCTGTTGCTGCCTCAATTGCTGCTGCTGCCTCTAGTGCTGATGGTCAAGCCTCCACTGGTGCTGCCTTAATTGCTCCTGCCACCAATGTTGCTGCCTCCAATGCTGTTGCTGCCTCAACTGCTGCTACCTCAAATGTTGCAGCTGCCTCTAGTGCTGATGGTCAAGCGTCCACTGCTGCACCCTCCACTAATGGTGAAGCCTCAACTACTGCTGCNTGTAGACCTATTATAGGTCTTGATGGTTGCCATTTGAAAGGGATATATGGAGGCCAAATTTTTAGTGCAATAGGTAGAGATGGAAATGATAACATGTTCCCAATTGCTTTAGCAGTTGTTGAGATTGAGTGTAAAGATTCTTGGAGTTGGTTTCTAACTGAATTGACAAGAGACTTGGGAAGGAATGAGGATATTGGTTGGGAGTTTATTTCTGATAGACAAAAAGGCATTGTGGAAACATTTGAGCAACTGATGCCTACAACACCCCATAGATACTGTCTCAGACATATGTATAACAATTTCAAGTCTAAGTATAAGGGTGTAGAGTTGAAGAAATTTTTCTGGAATGCTGCATCAACTGCTAGTGTGAATGACTTTAAATACTGGATGGCTAAGATAGAGCAGGTTGACAAGAATGCTGCTGAATGGTTGAAGCGTGTCAACCCNGTTGTGAGCATTTTGCTCCTTTTGGTTATATTTTGCTCATTTTGCTCCATAGAAGTCCGATATTGTGTCAAGTAGACATTCCATTAGATAAAACACCTTTACATTACATTAAATACAAGNCTGAATGGTTGAAGCGTGTCAACCCAGCTTTGTGGACTAGATCACACTTCTCTACGAGAAGTAAATGTGATATTTTGGTGAACAACTTATCTGAATCGTTTAATTCATATATTCTTGAAGCAAGAGATATGCCCATAATTAGTATGTTTGAGTGGATTCAGAGGAAACTCATGAGCAGAATACAAGTAAGGAGGAAGGGTATACAAAATTATACTGGGTTAATATGTCCTCGTATTTAGGAAAAACTGGAACAAAACAAGGTTGATTCGAGGAATTGTTCTCCTATTTGGTGTGGTGAGCTTGAGTTTGAGGTGGACCATTTTGATAGGGTGTTCATAGTGGATCTTAGAGCAAGAACATGTACTTGCAAAATGTGGGAGTTGTCTGGGCTACCTTGTTGCCATACGATAGGTGCCATACAATCAAATAATAAGCTACTAGAGACATATGTGCATGGATATTACACCAAAACTGTATATATGGCAGCATTTGCACACATGATACATTCAGTTCCTGGCATGCATGATTATGTTCATATTGGATTACACCCATTGAAACCCCCATTACTCCGAAAACTACCTGGAAGACCAAAAAAATTGAGGAGAAGGGAGACAGATGAGCCTAGAAACCCCCATAAGGCTTCTAGGAAAAAACTTAATGTCACATGTGCAAAATGCTTGAAGACTGGTCACAACAGATGATCATGCAAGAACAAGATCCATCCTAAATCAAAGTTATTGAGGGTAAGAGTGATTTTTTAAATATCATTTGTGCATTATTTTTGTTTTTTGAAAAACAAACTAATTATAAATTTTTTTGTTTTGTAGAAATCCACTGATGATGCAGCCTCCACTGATGGTCCAGCCTCAATTACTGTTGCCTCCACTGCTCTTGTCACCAATGTTGCTGCCTCCAATGCTACTACTGCCTTTAGTGCTGATGGTCAAGCCTCTACTGCTCCTGTCGCCAATGTTGCTGCCTCCAANGTGCAATTTTCAATCCTTCTCTAGCCTTCAAGTCCAATCTTCTTCGTGTCGATTCCTTCGATTCTTGTCTTCAATTTTCTTCCAATTCCTTGGCTTTTCCGGATGTTTTCAGCCCCCAAAAATCAGAATATCTCATCCCCACACAAACCCTAGCATATATGTAGCTTTAGAGTCCAATTTCGGGTCAAAAACAAGTCAAAATTTGCGTCACGAACCAACACAAGCGCGGGGGCGCTGAAAAGGCGCTGAATGGGTAGAATGTGGGCACAGGGGCGCTGATTCTGCGCTGGAACAACACTGGTCTTTTTTAATCCTTCAGCTCCCTTGTTGCTCAGCCTTCAAAAATCCCCCATTTAGGCTCCAAATTGACCTTGTTTTCTTCCAAATGATCTTGTTTGCTTTCAAATGATCTTTTCTACCAAATAACATCAAAACACAAAAAACAAATAAAAAGAAACATAAAATAATTAAAAACTTGCAATTTAATCAATCGAAAGTACTCAATTCGTAAGTATAAAACCCACTCATCACAATCCCAAGCATGTTACAAGTGATATTCATCCAATTAACACACTTGTTTCATAAGAATTTTATCAAACGCATAATAGGCAAAATTATGTAAACACAACATGTCCAAAACAACACATTTCTCATGAAATTCCAAATCAAGCAATTTCATCAAAACCAAATCATGCAAGACTTGTTTTTAGCATATTCTAGACCCATTTGCATATTTTAACAATCCTAGGCATGTGTTATACATGAGATTTTATCTCTAACCCTACCTATTTCATATTTCAACCCTAGGTTGGAAATAAACATAGTTAGGAAAGGAACCCTACTTCTTGTAGCATATATATGCGTAGATGAAGCTCCAAAAGACCCATATCAAGTTTCCAAGATTTGATCCCAAAAATTTTGTTTTTGAGATTGTGCAAAACTTGCGATCTTTGGTATGCACGCATGACTCTCGTTACGTAGAATAACTTTTGTGCTTAGCTTGAAGAGATCTGACGATTGGATTGCCGTAGATCGGAGGGAGAAGGTGGGAGAACTTTGGTTTCTCTCTCTCTCTCTCTCTCTCTCTCTCTCTCTTTTCTGGTGATTTTCTCTCCCCTATTTATACACCATTGCTTGGCTCTCATTAAGCCACACGTCTTTTCTTTTTTTGATCTGATTATGTTCCGAATTAATTAAATCTCATTCCATTTTAGGTTAAATACATTTTTTATTGAAATAACTTGAAATTATTTATCGAGTTTTGCAATTAAATCCTAATTGTGTTTGTTTTAGTCGCGCGATGCCCGATCCTTTCATAAAATGCGAAGAATCCAACTGTCTCAATATTCAACGAAAATTGATTGGATAGCTCGATTTCGTGAGACGTATCCAATGGTGAGGTCCATTTCGTCATCTGAGTTTTAGAAAAATTCAGGTGTTTAACCTGCATCGTAGCGGTTAGTTACCATTTTGCCCTTTATAACAAAGTTTTAATTTTCCTGGGTTTTACAAATGCACTTGCTTGCAATAAATAAATAAACTAAAGAAAGAATCACGATCGGAAAATGCTTTGAAAGAAAAACTATAAAGAACTCTTAGAAACCCTAGATAAAACTAGGACAAAGCGATGGAGAAGAGAGAGAAATTAATTGTCTAATGCTAAAAATCATCCTCCAATATTCGGCCCTATTTAAGGTGAAGATTGACTCTAATTTTCCTCTTCTTTTTTGACCAATAAGAGCCTCTGAAAATATCCCAAAGATCCCCAGTCGATAGACTTTCCAAAGGAGTTCTTATTGAACTTTAACTCTGATGAATCGGAAGAAAGCAACCCCGAACTGCTAGTAAGAAAGTTTATGCTCTAATCTACTGCTAGGTTAGTAACAACAAACCAGTAGAATTGCTCTCTGTTTCAGATCAACTAGTAGGTTAAACATGCATGAACTGGTAGAAAATATTCTATTTTGAATGAACTGGTAGGAATCCATAGCTTTTGATAGGTTTGTTGTCTGACACCTGATGAACTGGTACAAAACCTACCATTTGAATTTAATTTTCTTTTGAATTTGAACTGCAATTCTCCAGGCTTCAAGTCTAGCTCATCTAGCTCATTCCCAAAGTCTTCTGAAGCATAAAAATGAATATAAAATATTGCTTTTACCTTAAATCACCCACAAACACAAAAGTTTCTTATAAAACCAAAACTAAACTAAATCAAAACATATAACTAACAAGTAAGTCTAAGNATATAAAATATTGCTTTTACCTTAAATCACCCACAAACACAAAAGTTTCTTATAAAAAACCAAAACTAAACTAAATCAAAACATATAACTAACAAGTAAGTCTAAGATGAATGATAGGAGACATAAAATATGAAATATTATACACTCGTCACCCCCCAACTTAGGCTTTGTTACTCCCAAGTAAACTAAAATAAAAATAAAATCCTAACATACATCTTAAATTCCAAAGCATAATCAAACAATCATAGTAAACATCATAAATTGAAATGCATATACTCTAAAAACATCAAGGTACATATCGAAATGAAAAAAGATAAAAATATATATATATATACACTAAAACCTAAGGTTCTTCTACTTGGGCTATCACAACCTAAAAGGACAAATAACCTAAACAACTAAATCTAGACACTTCCCAAAAACAAGAAAATCAAAAGAAAATTCCTAAAAGTAAAATCCTACAATCAATTATCACTGTAAAGCATCATCCTCATCATCACTTTCATCATCCTCTGATCCAATAGTGCACTCCCCATTACTACTCATCTCATCAACACTGACGGGCATCATAGCAGTAGGCGGTGACACTACCTCTTTAGAAGTAGCATTAATAGGGAATGAAGTAACCCCCAAGAGGTTTCTCTCCCAGAATCAATACCTCAAACATCCAATGTATAAGTTGAAAACAATCGTCCACCTTCAACTCCAACCTACTCCATGAATGCTTCACTCTCAACAGATCACTCTGAATACCTCCCAACCTTTGCTCCAATCTAGACAATTTTTGATGAACAGTAGCTCGAGAGGTAAGAGGCTACTATGTAGAAGCAGCATAAGTACAAGGTGTAGTCTTACTCCCAGACCCACCAGCCATGGACATCGTCAAACTCTTGTTCTCTCCTTAACTACTAATAGGTCCAAGCTCAGGAGGAAGAAGTTAATCTGCTGCTATCTTCTTCACCCCAGCTCTGAGGCACATATCAGTCACCATATGACCAAAGTCCACATTCCCTGCTTGACCTCTTAAGTGAGTAGATAATAAAATGGGTTTCCAACCATAGGAATATATCGTTCAATAACTTGGTCAATTATCAAGGTTGTCTCCTCAGGGAAAAAAATTGCAACTCTAATGATGTTGGGTAAAAAGAAAAATAAAACCCTTGAATTTTGAAAGTGTTTGGAAAGTCAATAAACTAAGAAATAAATATTTAACAGAAACTGGACAATCTTCAAACTTTATCTCACTGCAAATAGGAATTTTGACTTAATTTATAACTCATTTAAGATTGTAATCAAATGCCCTTGAACGAAAAAAATATTCAACTTAAAATCAAGAAAATAACTAATGTGTATTTAAATTGATTGAATTAATTGGTGAAAGAATTACAGTCACATTGATTGCAGTGATTCCAAGAATTATCCGTGTCAAACCTAATTGTCTATGGATAAGGAAAGAGATATACATATCATCCATATTTCCAAAATCAATTGTTCAATCAATAAAATAACTTTAACATCATAAACCCTAGTTTGGTCAAACTAACTATTCACGAATGAGAATCCATCATCCGATCATATTGAAAATTAACTACTCACTCATTGCAAAAGCAAAACTAAAAGCAATTATTGAATACATAATCTTAAACAAAAGAGAAATTGAACTCGAATTGAAATCAACAAAGTACATTTTTATTGAAATTGAAATTGTAAATGATTAAAATATATAGAATCAATGTACTCCTTCTAGTGAGAATTAAAAGACTAAAAGGAGATAATACTTTGGAAATATAAAGAACAATAAACAAAGAACATGTGGAAAACCTAAAGAACGAAAACCTAGCTTCTAAGGTTGGAGAAGAAAAGAAACAGGTAAAGAATAATAAAAGATTGATCGATCCCCTTTCCCTTCCTTAGCTGTTGTATTTATAGAAAATATTGGTTGACTTTGCCTTTTTATTTTTTCACCAAAAGGATGCTTTAAAAGTGATTCGACTTTTTGTGTGGTATCAGATTTATATTATTCACCCAAGTATAAGTGGTCGAATTATAATTTTCTCGGTTTAAGTTCAAGATCNCACAATTCGGACTTTCCAATAAAGAGTTATGATGAAATTAGCGAAAGGTAGTCTGCCGGACAGATTTTTGGACAGTGTAGACACTACTTCGTAATATGGACATAACTCCTTCCTCCTAGTTCCGATTGAGATGATTCAAGGTGATATGGAATCCTAAGAGAGAGCTCTACAAATTTCATGTTTTAAGTTTTGAGAGATATGGACTGCATCAAGGTCGAAATCGAGCTTGATGTTACAGCCAGTGCACTGTTCATCCCTTTTTCATTCTACCAAATTCAAACACACATCACTACACATATCCCCATTTTGACAACAATTATTTACTATATATCTATATACATATATAAAAGAAAATGCGGGGTGTTACACATTGATTGCAGTGATTCCAAGAATTATCCGTGTCAAACCTAATTGTCTATGGATAAGGAAAGAGATATACATATCATCCATATTTCCAAAATCAATTGTTCAATCAATAAAATAACTTTAACATCATAAACCCTAGTTTGGTCAAACTAACTATTCACGGATGAGAATCCATCATCCGATCATATTGAAAATTAACTACTCACTCATTGCAAAAGCAAAACTAAAAGCAATTATTGAATACATAATCTTAAACAAAAGAGAAATTGAACTCGAATTGAAATCAGCAAAGTACATTTTTATTGAAATTGAAATTGTAAATGATTAAAATATATAG